ATGCTTTTTTCCTCAGTTGGTCAGAACAAACGTGGCAGACTTGTTACTTACTTGTTCAGATGGCAATATACGGTGAAAATTCTTATTTGGGTCATATTCCTAGACGTAGGCTAGAATCTGTGAGTGTGAAGTACAGTAAATATCTACACCAGTGCAGTGACTGACTGCCACACATACTTTTTTTATAGTTATAAAATTGTAGTTTTGAAGAGTTACGAATGGAAATAGGGCACACACCAGGGTACTGACCCATCAGCTTCAGGGTCGAGTATTACAGCCAGCTCTGTCAGAACCAGACCAGCAAGGTAATGCTGCTCTCTGAAGGGCACAGACAGCTCAAACATGTTGGCAATCTTTTGGTCCTGCACTTGGGTAGAGAAACCAGAACTCTGGTGGGAGACAACGAGAAAGAAAAACAAAAAAAATAGGAGGAAGGTTTTTATAACTATCAATTTTGGTGTAATTTAGAGTTTATTACAGTTAACCTTTCTCAGATAGTGTTTATACCTGAGATGTGGCAGAGGAGACCGAAGGAGAGGGGGAGGCTGGGGGTGTAAGTAGACTGAAGGGCAGGTTTAGAGTGACGTAGTGTTCATGGCTACAGGCGATCCTCAGGAAGTCTAGTCTCAGAGACTCTAGAGTGAGGTTCTGTAGTGCATAGAGCTTGTGCGCTGGAGCCGTGCCGACTCACAACCCACGCAAGCTAGATAATTCCGCAGACAGCTGCAATTCCAGGTTTTCAAACAGAGATGGACGACAAAGAGGCAAAACTTACGGACTGCAGCTTTAACTATTTTTGAATTTTTCGGATCATCAGTCATCAAAGCTCGGTAAATATTGGTTACAGACACAGAGATTTACTTTAAATTTCACCAAGCTGATTACTCACTAAAAATGACCCCACAGAGTGTGCGAGTTGTTTACTTTTTTAAATTAGTCGTCCCATTAACGCCATTATATTGTTCATTCAGAAGTGGAAAGCGCACAAACACAAGAGGCGGGATTTATCGCATTAACCAATCACAGCTGATCATAACCAGTCATATCCAATCATATCCCGATGGAGGCATTGCCTCCTCTCACGTGACTTTCCCCCATTCATTCTCAATTACCCCCACCAAAATCACTGCATAGACTGAAGGGCAGGTTTAGAGTGACGTAGTGTTCATGGCTACAGGCGATCCTCAGGAAGTCTAGTCTCAGAGACTCTAGAGTGAGGTTCTGTAGTGCATAGAGCTTGGTGGACACCTGGGAATTGAAGGAATAGAAGATCATCAGAAAAGACAGTGTGTAAAAGCATAAAATGTTTGGAGCTGAATTGTAAGGTACCTGTTTCCAGTAGGTTTTGATGAGAGAGAAGACAAAGCCTCTATCCATGACTGACAGGAGGTCATTGAGGAAGAAGGCCAAGCTGGTGTTGAGCCTTTCCACCAATTCAAGATCCTAAAGACAATAAAGTAAAGACAAACGTGAAACAGCAAACTCACCACTTCAAAAGCTTAAAATAATTAGAATAAACAGACATACTGGACATGCTTTTTTTCTTGACTGATCATCTGCAAGAATTAACCACTGAACTTAACATACATATAATTATGCAAAATAAATATTTTGTAACAATATCAAAGTCTTTATTATCAATTTTTATTGATTAAACATATCCTTGCGGAATAAAAGTATGAATTTCTTTAAAAAAAATAAAAAATAAAAATAAAAAGTATGGACCCCAAACTGTAGTGTACATTGTTAACTTTTTATTCATTAAAGAATCCTGAAAAAAGTATCACATGTTCCAAAAAATATTAAGCAGCCACTGTTCATACGTTCAAATGCCTTTTTGCCCTGCATGAACAAAAAATGGGCCTTTTTGTATGAGATGGATGGATAGAAAAACACAAACATTAATTAATTTCACTTGGTTTGTGAAAGGACATAGCTGAGCAGACTGAGTGCATTTCTTTAGAGATGAATGGAAACGAAAACAGACGTGAAAGAGACAACAGATACAGATATATTGCTACTAAGAGATCCAGAAGTGCTGTGAAGACCCTTCTGATTAACACCTGGTATTAGCTCCCTCTACTATGAAGTTTATTCAAACCTTGTATTCGAAGCAGGAGACACAGAGGTAGAGCAGATCCAACAGACGACTGAGCTGAGAGACAGACAGGTCAGTGAACCATTTCTGAAGCACCATCTCATCTGCATTCTTCAGCACCCACAGCAGACAGATGAGCAGACTACGACTGGACTCAGCTGAGAACGAGCCATGCTGACGGGTGGCCTGGAGAACAAGGTGTATAGATTTTAGTGAAGGACTGGGATTCTACTTTTTCAGACATCGCATGATGTATCTTTCTTGTTGAATAACTTTGTTTTGGTCTAACTGTCTCTAACATCAAGTAATCAATTATTTTAATTCAGAAGAATTACATTTATTATGGTAGCTTAAGTTTTCGAAAAATAAAAAGGATGTGCACAAAAAAAAAAAAAAACTGGCTTTACTTTAAATGCAAAGTGCGCCATTACTTTCCCTCTACTGCATGCATTTCAAAACTTTCTTGTCAGATATAAAATATTCTAAAATATTTACTTAAAAATACCCTCAGAGATTAAAAAGTGTTTATGTTTTGGGTGGGAAAAATACATACATATACATTTATGGTAGTTATGTAATATAGCAATGTATATACATGTAAAATAATAATAATAATAATAATAAAATAACTTGTTATATTAGCTGATAGAAGAAAGTAAAAGTAGTAAAATAAAAAAAAATAAAAATACACAATGCATCCAAACAGTGAGGTCACAATACCTGTGTATTTAGCAGAAAACTACTAGGCCGTGACATCTGTGGCACAGAGGTCCCTGCAATTGCCATGGCAACAGTCTGGCTGATCATACTGTTGCCCTCAGCTTCCTGCTCCTCGGTACCTGGACCACCAGGACGACCCCACTGATTATGGGATTCTGTGATGTCAAAAGAAATGTTAAAACATCTAAAGAAAATGTTGTTGGTGAATGTTGTTATTACATGACATATTTACAATACAGCATGAGCCGGATACAAAAATCTATTAACATACCGGTGAAATCATAGAGCTGGGGAAGGGTTTCCATCACAATGCCTATGAGTGGTAGGTAGAGCAGGGCAACTCTAGCTTTGACCTCAGGGTCAGCATAACGTGGGTCTGAGTCATGACTGGACAGCAGATTATGAACCACGCTGATGACCTTCTTATGAAGACCAAACATCCTATAGCAAGAGCAGAATAAATATAGAAGAGCCGAGTAAAATTAAATATTTGATAGATGTTATAAATAATTAAAATACTTAATTTAAATTATGAATTATATAATAATAATAATAAAATAATATATAAAAATAAAAATAATATACATAATTGTAAATATAATTATAGTTATATAATTGTTTATACATGTTCCAAAAAATATTAAGCAGCCCAACTGTTTCCAACACTGATAATAAATCAGCATATTAGAATGATTTCTGAAGGATCATGTAACACTGTGCAAACTGTAGTAATGGCTGATAAAAATTCAGCTTTTCCACCACAGGAATAAATTATATTTTAAAGTATTAAAATAGAAACCGTTATTTTAAATTGTAATACTATTTCACAATATTAAAGTTTTGACTGTATTTTCGATCAAATAAATGCAGCCTTGATGAGCAGAAAAGACTTCTTAAAAAAAAAAAAATTACACATTTTACTGATCCCAAACTTTATATATATACAGTGGGTACGGAAAGTATTCAGACCCCCTTCAATTTTTCACTCTTTGTTATATTGCAGCCATTTACGCTCAGTGCAGCAAAATACAGAGATAGCCTTAATGAAAACCCAGTCTAGAGCATTCAGAACCTCAGACTGGGTGGAAGGTTCACCTTCCAACAGGACAATGACCCTAAGCACAGAGCTAAAATAACGAAGGAGTGGCTTCATAACAACTCTGTGACTGTTCTTGAATGGCCAGAGCCCTGACTTAAACCCAATTGAGTATCTCTGGAGAGACCTAAAAATGGCTGTCCACCAATGTTTACCATCCAACCTGACAGAACTGGAGAGGATCTGCAAGGAGGAATGGCAGAGGATCCCCAAATCCAGGTGTGAAAAACTTGTTGCATCTTTCCCAAAAAGACTCATGGCTGTATTAGATCAAAAGGGTGCTTCTACTAAATACTGAGCAAAGGGTCTGAATACTTAGGACCATGTGATATTTCAGTTTTTCTTTTTTAATAAATCTGCAAAAATGTCAACGATTCTGTGTTTTTCTGTCAATATGGGGTGCTGTGTGTACATTAATGAGGAAAAAAAATTAACTTAAATGATTTTAGCAAATGGCTGCAATATAACAAAGAGTGAAAAATTTAAGGGGGTCTGAATACTTTCCGTACCCACTGTATAATGTCAATGTTGCTGCACATATGATATTTGTAATATAATAATGATATTATGTAAAACAAAATAAAAGTTGACAAAAAATAACAAATAAACAAACAGACAAACGGTTCAATTCATTCATGTAGTTTTCTCACCTTCTGGAAACGTGAGACGATGTCACCTGCAATGGTGCTAACCAGAGCGGTGATGTCATCCATGAAGCGCTCAGGGAAGCGGTTCTTCCTGGGAGACTGCAGGCGGTCAGTAAAGTACAAGTGGTGAATGATGCTCTTAACCTGAAAAGAGAAAGAACATATTTTTTCTCTCACAACCTCAAAAACAGATGCTACACTTTTTTTCATAAAGGAGGAAGCATGGGGATTTATGATTGTGGTAGTCCTTACCATAAGCTCAAAGAAGAACCAGGCCTGTTGCAGGGCTCCCTCTCTCACGCTGCCACTGCTGACCACCCACTGCAGGGCAAGCTCCTCATGAAAGAGCTGAGAACAGGAAGGAACCATCAAAGAACCATTCACCATCAAATACACTGCATATAGGTCAGTATGTCTTAGTTCTACTATGGGATATGATACGGTCCTTTGACATAAGGCCCACTGTGTTGCTGCAAGAGTGGGGAGGATTCATTATTCTACGGATCCAACATTAAACACAGATAAACATCCCATTCGAACACAGTACCCATTACCGGGCCAAGACCAACTGGGTGCTCTACACCACAAGTGACACATAATTCCCTCTTCAGGTGCATTCATAGTAAAGTGGTGCCAGTCATTCATAGTAAAGAGAAATACAGATACTCAGAGTTCACAAGAAAATGACAACCACAGCAACAAAACAACATCAACAACAACATCCAGTCATTCCAAGACAGACAGGCGCAAGTGAGGCAAGGAGGGGGTCGGCTCCTGCCCTCAGGGAATTGGGTCTCTACCTTTTTGGTTGGCAAGCGTCCTGTTAATGTTTGCAAGAAACTGGCGCTCTCAGTGTGCGATGACATGCGATTGCCACTGCGCTCCATGGCCTACGGGTGGGGATGAATGGAAAGGTGACAATAGATTAGTGTGGAGGACAGGAGTATGTGGTGCCATTCACTACCAATATCTACACACACACCTTCAACCCACACACACAAAAACACAATACAGAACGGGACTGCACAAACTGTAATATCATAATAGATAAATAATTTAAAAATGCAATTACTTTTTAATTAAACAATTAGTTTCCATCAGACAAATAGCCATTCTGAATGACATAGTCTACTCAATAAGGAGACTGAAGAGAAAAAGTCTTGATGCTGGTGATGAAGATATGATGCTGAATAAATAAATAAATATGCATGTATGCTTTAATGAATCAGACTATTACAGGCACTGAGTAATGAGAAAAGAAAATTATTAGCCTTAATCAGGTGCTGGTTATTAAAATAAATACAAACAAACGGACAAACAAAATATTCACACACACGCATACATGTACATGCAGCATATCATAACATGCCAGGCAGAGAGAAAATGGAAATTGGTTAGTTATGGCCATGCAATGTGTTTTAGAGTGCAATGTTGAATAAGAGGAATGAGGTGGCTTTGGAAAAGACTGTTTAAGAAGAGTGAATGGGGTTGAGGAAGTAAAGAAAAAAAAAAGGAAAATGGAAGAGGGAAGAGGGAAAGGAGTGTGCCATGGAGTTACTAGATATTCCTGTTAGTGCTACTGGGAACGGCTGTGTGAAATGGGGAATTCTGCTTTGAATTTGGGGGTTGGGATAGTCAAAATGACCTGCTTAGCATCAGATGATGAGCCAGGGCTGGTCCCCCAGGGGGCGCTTTTGCACCCCATGGTATGCACCCAGGAGTTGGAGCGATCTAAGCCCTGCAAGCCAAGGGTGGCGTCAAAAGGATCACGGGCAGACGCAAGCAAGCCAGGGAACAGTGAAAGGTCAAAAGTTACAGGTAAATGAGAAAGTGAGCAAGGGAGCAAGTTAGTTTATATTAATTTCTCATCTTTGAACAGCAACAGCAACAGGTTAGATTATCAAGCTTCTTTAAGTGGTAACGGAATCAAAGGCTTAGTTTGGGCACGGTTAGCACAGAGAACACATGATGTGAAACCAGGCTGATTCATTCATTGCAATGGGGGGAAAAGGATCATTGGTTTGCACCAACAATTCTTAAGTGTACCTCAAATAAAGCATCTTTAAACATCTTCAGAGCATTTGGTACATTATAAAATTCCTGTCTACTACATCATCTACACTACCTTTTACAAGTTTGGGGTCAACAAGATTTTTCTGAAATTAATATTTTTTATTCAATAGAGATACACTTAATTTGTTAAAAGTGGCAGTAAGGACTGTTACATTGTTACTATATATATATATATATATAGAGAGAGAGAGAGAGAGAGAGAGAGAGATTTTACATAAAAGCTGGTCTTTTGAACTATTCATCAAAAAATATTGAAAAAAGTATCACAGGCACCACAAAATATTTGACTGTTTCCAACAATAATGATAATAAGTTAGAAATATTTATTGAGCCCCAAATCAGCATATTAGAAACATTTCTGAAGGATCAGGTGACATTGAAGACTGGAGTAATGGTTGCTGAAAATTCAGCTGTGCCATCACAGGAATAAATTACCTTTTAAAATATTTTCAACTAGAAAACTTAGCTATTTAAAACTGTAATTTTATTTCAAAATATTACTTTCAAAAACTCTTTTCAAAAACATTAATCTTCTAAACCCCAAACCTTTGATTAGTAGTATATGCAGGTAATTCTTCTGAAATCATCGTGAGAACATTCAACACACTAACAATTTAATTTAGAGCAGTTTGATTACAACTGCAATCATTTAACTTATTAAATGTATATTTGTTAAACATATGATTTTCATTTTAAATGTAGATTCTTAAGATTTCATGTGCTTTCATGATAAAGTTTATTTACGGCCATGGAACTTAAGTAGTGACACATACTTAAAGATTTCTGTTTATTTATTATAGAATAATGAATCTCTTATTTTTCCTGTGTTACCTGATTTGCATATTCCCTTCAATAAATTGGGCGCATCAACAATGAAGACAGCACAAACAAATAACTGAGTTATAAGTTACACATTCATCAAAGGCAAACTGTTGGCCACCGATCTCAACCACACATTTATTGTGTTACAGTTCTTTTTTTTGTGTTACAGTTTATTTTTGTTCTTCCCTTTTGCAAGATTGTGTAACATGGGTTAAGTACATAAAATGTTTCAGCTAATATTTGTCTTGCTGGTGAGCTATAGGTTGATCTGTAACATTGAGAAATGCTGATGATCAGCTAAATCAGCAATCTAGTGCAGAAAGTCAATGACCTACAAATGCATTCATAATAATGAATACAATTATTCACATCCAGCTGGAGCAATCAAAGCATGTCTTAACAGCACTAATAAAATACATTTTGATATGTGTACATAAACTACAACGATGCATTTGTAATATTATTAGAAATAAATTATAACCAATAGAGCTGCTGAAATGTGTCTACCTACCTTGCTGCCAATGATGGAGCGTACTTCATCATCTGGGGAAGTAGGAGTGCCAGAGATGTCTGGGTTGCTGTTGCTAAGGCTACGAGAGCGGTTGAGGTTGAGGCTTGACGGTCTAACAGCAGAACGGGCCATGGTGGCATAATGCACTGAACCGCCCAATCCTCCAGGGCCTATTACGCCAAAAACAATAAATCAAAATTGAAACACACTGGAGTAACAACTAATTTAACCTAATCTTAAACACTCCAAAAGCCACAGATTTAGAGACCTAAAATCAAAAGATCAAGCTGAAACCTGACCTGGAGATGGGGAGTTGGGGTCCAATATATATATATGAGAGAGAGAGATTTCTTTTTTATGAAAAAAATGTTTTTTTTATGTTCCATAGAAGAAAGTCATACAGTTCAGGAACAACATGAGGGTGAGTAAATGATGACAGAATTTTCATTCCTGGTTGAACTATCTCTTTAAAGTAAAACTTTTCTGTGAGCTTTCTGAGATTATGTAGGTTGGAGGACAGAGGGTACCTATCTGGCCGGCTATGACAGGTGGCCGCACCATCAGCAACACCAGTTTGTCCAGCAGTAGGTGGAGGAAGCGCACAACAGGCTCCAGCTGAGCGGAATTTAGAGCTGCTATACTAGACTTCAGCTCAGCCTCCAGATTATTCTCCATAATGCGCATGTCTCCTATCCTCACAGGGAACATATGCTCATCCAGCGCATGCACCAGTGCAAAGAACTTATCTAAATACTGGTCCTGGGCAGAGGAAAGAAACTGTTTCGCCCATGCATATCTTGGCTAGTGTCCAAGTACTTATGTAGACGGTTCACTATGGATGCCATCACTTCAAAAGAAGCCTGACCAAGATTCACTTCAGCAGAAAGAAAATAAAACACAAGATCTTTAAGAAACAGCAGCCAAGGTCAGGAAACTAACAACTATTTTATGCAGTTCTCACAATCAAGCTAAATACTATTTTATATATATATATATATATATATATATATACACACACACACACACACACACACA